AGAAGAAGAGGAGGCAACAGTACGAACATCATCTGCATGAGCAGCTCCACNCACGAAGGAACCTGAGACGGAGAGACCAACATTACTCCACCTGAAGTCCTTTAGCAGAGAGTCCATAACCATGAGGAATAACAGAGGGGACAGGACGGAGCCTTGACGGACACCTCGGGATACAGAGAAAGAGGAGGAGACAGTGAAGGAAAGACGAATACTACTTTCAGAAGAACTGTACCAATTAGCGATAATTCTCCACACTCTCCCACCTACACCAACCTCCAATAATCTTTCCAGTAGTACACAATGCTCAACTGAGTCGTAGGCTTTTTCATGATCGTACATACCTAGAAGAGGATGTCCACCATCATTTAGAAATGAGAGGATAGTCTCTTGAGTGAAAAAGATGGCATCAGAGCATGAGAGACCTTTACGATAGGCAGTCTGTAAACAGTCTGGCAAATTCAGAATATCAACAATGGGACTCATGCGATCTAAAATGAGTCTCTCGTATAGTTTAGCAAAGACCGAGGAGATAGTAATACCACGGTAGCTAGAGACATGCGCAACCACACCCAAATTTTGGAGCACATGCTTTTATAATTAACAAAATGGCGGCATGAGGTAAGTTGGTACGAGCTAACAGTCACAGTATCACTACTTCCTTTCTTGGAAGATGATTCTAGGGGACAAGGACCTGTGCATACCCTGTTGGAGTGGAATGGTGTAAGAATTAGCCTTCTATCACCAGGCAAGATTGAGATATCGACTGACAACTGGATTGACAGACTTGATCATGATGAAGATGAAAAAAGGTGGCTGAACAAAACGCCCTGGTGTTTTGCCAATTTTTGACTTTCCTCTTAGACAAGGTTTAGAGCCACACTAGTGGTACCAATGGAGTTTTCTGGTTAAGATAAGGCCCTCTAAGAAGTCTGGTAAGTATAGGAGCTCGTTTTCCTGGTAGATCTATAGCAAGGCTGCAAAAGTTGTGGCAGCCATTTTGAAGTGGGGCGAATCCTACTTAGTAATGCTACCACATTACTAAAATGCTATTGCGTTACTAATTATAAATAAGCAAATCCTGAAGCTTATAATTATAATCACACATTAAAGGCATATAATCATTACAGTAATCATAAATGATGGCAAAGTATATAAATGGTAACACACAATTATGATCATATTTTACAGCAATGTGTCAACTACTGCAGTAAATTGAACTGCAACTTTAAAATATTGTTTTTAAGTCAAAAAATCTCATTTTCTTCAGCATTTACATGTATGTTCTCAGAAGTAAAAGTAAGACATCGTAATTAACAAATATATTGAACAATTTAAATGTGTGTAATCATTGTTTGCAAAGTAAGGGAGAAAAATTAAATAATACAGCGATTGTGCTGACACTCTGGAGATAGGCAATACCATTTTCTATTAGAAAATAGGGTTGGGCAATATACCGTGAAGTCGATATTATCGCGGTAATTATCGCATCGATATATTGTATCGCATTCTTTTTCCTCCGTGATATTATCGCTATGAACGATATATCGCCCACGTGGCATAATTGCGCATGCGCAATGTACTTTGGGTGTTAATTAGAAAGTAAATTAAAATGGCAACTCCACATGGTGGTCCTCACTCAGGCCGTGATGCATAGGCGGCGGCAGGGTCGGGCATGGACAGGCAATGCCCGACCAAAAATTTTGACCGGAAATGACAATTTAATTAATGACATCATTTTTAGTAATGAATAATTACCATGGCTAGCAAGAGACAGTCTTTCCGCTTTCCTTTGTCAACAAGCCTTCCAAGAGGACCAGGACTAGCACTGTACAGGTTGGATAGAGCTTTACAGATAAGATAGGGGGCCTTTTAGGCACATTTTATGCTATATTATATTGTATATCCGTGCATTGAGTATACGCCCAAAATAGGCGCAAAAAAGGTGGGTGTGGTCAAAATCACAGCGCGCTTCGCACGCCATTTTTGCCCAACCGTTCTTCAAATCCTGCCGCCGCCTATGCCGTGATGTTGACCAATTAGTAGAAGAAAGTCCAGAAACTACTAACGAAACAAGGGAAGGAGGAGGCGGCTTAGTTTTAGTGGCTAAGAAGAATACTATAAGCCCTGTCTGGACTCATTTTGGACTAAAGGCTGGACCAGACAACAAGCCTCTTACTGGCCAGGAAAACAATCCTATTTGTAAGCTATGTTACAAGCCTGTTTCTTGTAAAGGTGGCAACACAACTAATATGT